TTCAAACCCCCCCCCCCCCCCCAAAACCAAAATTTCTTCCTCTCACTCCGTCAACAAGGATGAAAAAGAAATACTACTATAAATCAATAAATTACTAGTATTAAGTGATTATTTTGGTTAGTTGGTTTTAGCGTTTAAACATTGGAACACAACATTTTAAAAAAAGATTTAAGTTATATACATCGATAAAGTCGAGGTTTTGTTACATTCAGATGAGGACTTATATATAACCATGAGGGGTTACTGGTCCCCATATACTTCGACAGAAATTTCGTACTCCCTATGTTTTAATTTAGATGACACACTTTTCATATTAGTCCATTCAAAAAAGAATGATACATTTCTATAATTGGAAATAATTTAATTTTAAACTTTTTATTTTACACATCTTACCCTTAATGAGAAACTTTTATAACCACACAAATATCATAACCATACAAAGCTTTTAGCCATTTTTTAGACCACAAGTTTCAAAAGTCTCTTTTCTTTTTCTTAAACTCAGTGTCGAGTCAAACTACCACATCTAAATTGAAACGGAGGGAGTATATGTTTATGTATATACCTTTAAAATGGCTAATTTAAATCACTTGGTACCCTTGTATACGAGTAAAATCGAGCCCGTTGAACATCTCGATTTCTCGGTAAGACAAACGGGACTGGAACGTGATCATAAGGAATCAGAGTCTGAGTAGAAAAATCTCTCACATCGGGGATCGAGCATAACATCCGCCCTCGGAAGCATCGGGGCCACATCTCCCGAATCCGATTCGAGTCCCTCAACTTCAGAGAGCATTACCAAGCGGCCGAACATGACTAACAGAGAGCCGTGACATCTGTGCTCAATCGGATGTCACGGTATAAATCTCAGCCCGTATCAATAGTGAATCAGTGATTAGCATAAAGAAAGATTTTTATCCTTTTTTAGAATTGTACTTAGGGTAAAACTCTCATATTATATAAAGAAAAAATTAATTATTCATTAAACATATTGTAACACGCATATCAAGGCAATATACTCTTATTCTCTTTGTTATTCAAAGTTATTGCTTTTGTTCATCAATCCTTCATTAGTGTGAGCCCGGGATCGAAGGCAAGCACTTCGTTAAGTCGTTACTGAGTCCGAGATCATTCTCCTTATTGGTTTGACAATTTATCACATTTTTTATGTGTTTAATCTGACGCCATTTATCATTTGTATTGAATTAATTATCCGCACATCCTTAAAATCACATATAAATTTAATTGTTATCCATTTTTTAGGGTAAACATCTTGACGCCCACCGTGGGACTAGGGATAATAGTGGTAATTTGATACAAATTTCCAAAACACACTCTATTTTACACTTGTTCTTTGAAATTTTAATTTTAGGTCAAATTAAAAATGTCGAACTCTCAATCTGCTCATTTGAACGCTGGTGCTGAGTCTGGCCACCAGGGCAAGAACACCAATGTAGTACCCAACAACGAGGTACCCCCTATTGACCCCAATAGAGTTCCAGTCGCGGACCCAATCAATGTTAACTCACATGTGACTATCAAAGCAAACTTGCCTACCGATCCCGAAAACAACATTCGCGGGGGAGCCTGATCAATAGCCCGGAGTACACACAACGGCGAAGGTGATGGGATCAACTTGCGGGTGATCTTCGAAATGTTACAGGCTCAACAGGCAGCAATAGACCAATTACAGAACCAAAGTCGTACCCCCACCAGAGTTGAGCCAGAACCATCCCGGGAAAATACTCGCAGAAATGAACCGACCACAGAAAGGCCGGGTGAAGCTGAACCCGGGACCAACCCCGAGATAATAAAGATGCTTGAGGAACTGACAAAACGAGTGGAATCAAGAGAAAAAAAATAATCGAAGCCAATGACAAACAAGTGGAGACCTATAACTCCAGGGTTGATCAAATCCCAGGAGCACTCCTGATATTGAAAGGCATGGATTCCAAGAAGTTCGTCTAAAAACCTTTCCCTCCGAGCGCAGCTCCGAAATCGATCCCAAAGAAGTTTCGTAAGCCCCAAATCCAAAAGTATAATGGGACCACAGATCCGAATAAGCACGTAACCTCCTACACGTGTGCCATCAAAGGAAATGACTTGGAAGATGATGAAATCGAGTCGGTTCTACTGAAAAAGTTCGGGGAAACCCTGTCTAAAGGAGCAATGATATGGTGTCACTACCTACCCCCTAATTTCATCGATTCGTTTGCTATGCTTGCGATGCCTTCGTAAAAGCTCATACTGGGGCCAACAAAGTCGAAACCAGAAAATCAGACCTCTTTAAAGTCAAGCAAAGAGATAACGAAATGCTCAGGGAGTTCGTGTCAAGGTTCCAAATGGAAAGGATGGATCTGCCCCAAGTTGCGGACGATTGGACTGTTCAAGCATTCACTCAAAGACTCAACACCCAAAGCCTTTTGGCTTCACAGCAGCTGAAACATAATTTAATAGAGTAGCAGGTGGTAACTTGGGTTGACGTCCATAACAGGTATGAATCGAAAATCAGAGTGGAAGATGATCAGCTCGAGTACCCCTATAGGTCCATGTATCCCATCAAAACTAATGATAGATCTAAAAAAGTCATCGATCATGAACCATGACCGAGCATAGATCGGTACAAACCGTATAGCAGAGATCGAAGGGGCAGTGGAACCGGACGTAACCCAGCGAGGAATGAAAAAATAAGCGATCGAGTTCATAATAACCGGGGACTTATGAGCAAAATTGGTTTCGACAGGCCAATCGGGGCCAGGGAGGCACCAAGGCTATCGGAGTACAATTTCAGCATCGATGTTGCCGGCATCGTATCAGCCATCAGACACATCAAAGATACCAAGTGGCCTCGTCCATTACAGTCTGGTCCTGCCCAAAGAGACCCCAACCTGATGTGTAAGTATCATGGCACCCATGGCCACATGACCGAAGACTGCTGACAGCTAAGGGAAGAAGTGGCCCGGTTATTCAATAACGGACACCTCCGGGAGTTTCTGAGTGATCGAGCCAAAATTCACTTCAGGAATAGGGATTCCAACAAGCAAACCAAGCAGGAGGAACCTTATCACATCATCAACATGATCATCGGTGGAGTCGACATCCCCCAAGGGCCAATGCTGAAGCGCAATAAGGTGTCCATTACAAGGGAAAAGCGAACCCGAGTTTGCATGCCGGAGGGGACTATCTTTTTCAACGATGAAGACGTTGAAGGCATCATGCAACTATTATCCCCGCCAATATTGCTGTATTTGTAAATAATAATTCTGTAAAATATAAGTTAACATTATGAAACACTAATAAATTCGAGCCCACTAAATTCACAGTATTTCCTTAAGAAATTTAATCCCCTCCTAGTACCCAAGGTAATGGATTATTTCCTCCCAGGATAGAACGGATAACACACTGGTGTAGCGGTACTTCAAACCCCCAGTGTTTCAGCGAACACAAAGTTCGGTAGCAAATCACACTTACAGTTGCTTTGTTTGAAGTTAAAAACAATGCAGGACGAAGGAGTACAAACTCAGAAAATCGTATGGAAATGCTGAGAGGAAGGAGTGCAATGTATAGCCAATTTGTTGAGCGAATTGTGTGTTGTGTGTTGAGTGTCTTTCTTCAACATCTGCTGCACATATATATAGCAGCCAGTGTTAAAGAAGACCAAACGTCCACTCTCCATGGTGGAGCAAGCATTAGCTTGTTTGTGGAGCAAGCACTTCATGTTTGTGGAGCAAGCACATTCATGGTGGGAAGAGCATTAGGCAGCTGCCAAATAGTCAATACACAGATTGGAAAATATCAGTTACAAATGCGGATAATCTTACGTTAATATTTACTATTAACAAATAAATTTGGTCCAAAAAATTAATCAATCAATCGATCATTTGACCAAATCCAAATCCAAATCCAAATCCAAATCC